AATAAATAACTATTTTTTGTAATTAAATTCAAAATTTAAATTTTGAGTCACATAAAATAATTAATTTTATTAAAATACATTAAATTAATATAAAAATAATCTTTAAAATTATTTTAAAAAATTAATTTTAAATATATAAAAATAAATAAAAAAAACACTAATAATAAATAAAAACTAAAAATGTTAATTATTAGTCAACTATTTACCTTCTCCGTGTCTTGTAAGAACACGCAATAGAAAAACCGATTAATAAATTCTGGCAGCTCCTTCCACTTCAATTTCTAGGTGTTACGTGGAAACTTCTCTGAACTTTTTATGGATAGACTGACAGCATTTGGTGGCATTTGATTGGTAAAAGTCAAGCTCACTATAATTTGATTAGCACACCATTGTTGACAGTATTCCAAGAATTGATAAGCAACAGTTGAATGGTAAGCAAAGAAAAAAAAAGGGTTTTTATATCATTGTTTTTTTAAAAATATGTTTTTCTTTTTACTTCAATTATTTTAAAGTAATGGTTGTTATTGAATTTTGAGTTTATTTGACATTAATTATTTTTTTTTTATTTTTTTAATAAATAAATTTTTTACTTTAATTTTATTATTATCTATTTATTTTGATTAATTATTTTCTCACAAAGGATTTTACTTTATCTTTTAACTTTTTTAAAGTAACATAGATAAATACATGAATTGTTATTAAATTCTCAACTTAAAGAAAAAAATAAAAATGATAATTATTTTAAGATAAAAAGAGTATGAATTTTTGTTTAAATAAAAATTAGTAAAATGAAGGAAAGGGAAAAGAGGGGAGGAGAAAAGAAGGGAGGAGATGTTAAGGTTGGAAAGGGTTGATGTTAATTTTATTTGAATAAATGAAAGTCAAAGAGAGAGAAAGAGAATGATAGTATTTTTATTTATTTAAATAATTTTAAAAAATAAAATAAAGTATTTAAGATTTACTAATTAAAAATTAATTAAACTAAAATATTCTTATATTTTTATTTTTTTTAAATTTAAAAATATTAAATATGTAAATCTTATCACAGTAATCCATCAAATTTAAAGAAATGGAAACAATAGGAATGGAAGGGCTCTCTTACTTCTCTGTCTCCCTCCCCCTTCATTAATAAAGAAAAACAAACAAAGCGAGGTAGACATATATCACTCACTCCTCTTTCCTTCTGTTCCAAATCCCTCAATCTAAACATTTGCTAAGGGAACATTGTTTTACAACTTAAATTATACTAAATTGTAAAATAAGAACTATCATGGCATTCTGCCATAAATTAAAGTATAACATTTGTTAAGGCAAAAAGCCAAAATGATAGGAAGCCACTTGTCTACTTAGTAACCTCCTTTTGGGTATAACAGTTTTGCCTTAACCACTACAAAAAAGTATTTGGTAAATTTTTTTCCCACACAAATCGTTGCATATTTGGTATTTGATAAAAGTTTCTATTTAGCGGTTAGAGCCCAATTTGCATGTGGACTGAAAAAGTTCCTGAAAATAACTTTTTACCCAAATTGCTAGTGGATTGAATTTTTTAAATTATTATGACAAATTTACCTATAAAATAATCTATATATATAAAATGCTACCTTATGCATTAAATAGGGTAGCATTTTATATATATTGAATATATAATAATAATAATATAATAATAT